TTCCATGGTTAGCCCCCCATGCATTTTTAATAGCCATCCCAGTCCTAGATTGATAAATACAGAAGACAGAATGAAACAAAAATCTATAGCATTGCAATAGCGGCTTCCTGAGGCTCATTTGATTAAATAACACTTGTGAACCAGTGTCATCATATGTTGAGGGAGTAGGAAGGATGGGCCAAAAATGGCTGAGATCCCAGGTGCATGAAAAGTTGCTGTTTTGTGGGAAAACCCTAACGTTGCAGGCACAGGTATTAAACTCATTATGGAATTTAAAACTCTGAGTTGTAGTATCATCATCATAGTTGTAAATAAGTTTTGTTTTAATTTATGGCTTTAAATGTGGCATTAAGTTTTGACCGTATTCCTGCAGAATGGTAAGCTGGGATTCTACTGAAACAATACGTTACTTATTTTGTATTCTTGGTTATCAAGAAGGTAAAACAATCAATATTCTCTATAATCCTTACTTTTCTGTTTGCTCTGTGGATTTGAGGGATCCCTTCCTAAAACCTTCTTGTGTTATTATCCCCCTTCCAGAATTATTCATTGAATTCAAAAGCAGTGCACACATGTAACTTTCAGTGGAGGTTTTGATCCATATGTTTCAGGACATGCTAGGCAGAACATGGTGCTAATGTTGGAACCAAAACTTATTCTGGAGTATTCTGACTCAAAAAAACATCTCTGAATCTCAGATTAGCTTGTGTTGTGCCTGTTTCAGCTGAGAGTTGGACTCTGCACATTTTTGACCATTTATAGGAAACTGGGACTCGTCCAGCTTTGAGTGTGAGAACCATCCAGCAGGGTAAAATCCATACTCAGTATCCCAGATGTTTTTGAAAACCTTGGCGTTGCTTTTAAAAGCCTTCTATATCCAAGCTGTGAGCCCAAAGATCTTTTTAAAATTCTTCTCCAGATTTGTGGGCAGAGAAATTGGGAAGATGATGTTATCCATTTTCTCCAGGTGAATTATTCCAACTGTCAAGGACAGATTCCCCTGTAGTGCTGCTCCCAAAAGCTCCTTGGTAGATGTTCCCTGATCATGACTTCTGTCTTTTGGATGATTTAATGGAAACATGGGAAGTTATGGAGGCTGCCAGTTTTTTTCGGAAGAAAGTGTACAGTGAAAGATGGGCCGTGCATGTAAGCTTCTTGGCTGCCTCTTCATTCAGTTAGCGGAGGAACACAGCCTTCGACCCAGGAGAATTTTTCAGAAATTCTCTTCTCCGTTGAAAGAATGTCTACATTATCTTTCATGAATAAGGACTGAGTGAGCACTAATAGGAAAATATGCAGGATAAATTATCCACCCACCAGTATTTTATATATGTGTGTATGTGATCACTTTCTCTCATAATTTTTAACCAGGCTGTGATTTTGATTTTGGCATGGCACAAGATATGAACTCAACCATTGTGGTTTATAAAACTTCTTTTATGGTGTAGAGCAGTGTTTTTCAAACTTGGCAACTTTAAGATGCGTGGACTTCAACTCCCAGAATTCCCCAGCCAGCATATGGAGTTGAAGTCCACGCATCTTAAAGTTGCCAAGTTTGAAAAACAATGGTGTAGAACAACATGTAAACCTTATGGTTTATTCAACAGTGGTTTAGTGCAGTGCATGGAGCCAATCACATCCACGTATATTATCTGTTCATCAGTAAGAACATGCTCCTCCCAAATGCTTGTTGATGTCCTGCTTAGCAACACCCATAATGAACTGTGATGATGTGAAAATGATGGCATGTTCGATGACATCATTGTGCAGATACCACAACTGCATATTTGCATGATGAAGGCTGATGCATGTGCTTATTCAGCACTTAGCAGGGGTATCCCAGGGTATGGTACAAAAGTCAAGATAGCAACCACAATGGTGTGGTCAAAGCTCTGCTTGCTTTTTCCATGTGTTCAGTACATGATGCACATCAAGAATGGGCAAGGATTCAGTCCCACCTTTGTGGCCACACTCTTGATGTTTTTGATCATAACCTAGGACGCCCCTGGTACTTCGGTATAAATGCATGTTAAATAAAAATTGGAAATGCTACGAAGTATGTGTCTGCAGCATTTGCATGAGGATGTCATCTTGAATGGGTCATCATTTGCCCCCGATCCCTCCATGGATGCCTATGGGTCTACAGGCAATTGATGTCGCACACACCTTGATGTCATTGCAGAAATGATGCAGATTTCATCAGGATGTGGCTGATGAATACCTAATCTGCATCATTTCTGCAATGGCATCAGGATGTATGTGATATTGTCGTGACTCCTGTGGGATGGCTATCTCCCTATGGACATCCATTGTCCAGCTACTTGTGCTTATTATCAGCAGATAGGCTGCTGGGCTATCTGCCTATCCCTGATGGAGCTGTGCTCACATATTCAATCTTACTGGCACCTCCCACTTACTTATGTCAGTCACACCTCTGAGATGCATATATATGTTTGAATGGAAACCACATAATAAAATGTAGTGGCATCAGTGAGTTTAGGCTTAATGGTCCCCTTGGCATCATGGTTGGTCCACTCCACTGGCTGCTTTTTTGTGTAAGCAGATGGTTCTCCAAGCAACAGCTCTTTCTAGCATCTAGAATGGTCTCAATATTATTATCATTCTTACCATTATGCAATTAGTATTAATCATTATATAATCATCAACAGCAACAGCTACTCTGCCTGCAAGCACCCCCAAACCTGGTACAAGGATACTGTGGCTTCTGGAGGCCTTGTTGCCAACTGGGGTTGGGGCAGAGACTGTTGGGTAGGGAAGAAGAAGCTTGGGGACAGATGGGGATAGGTAAAGGTTTCTCCCAGTGGGAAACTGACCGCCCCAAGTTGCATCAGATAGAATTGTTGTGATGTGAAGGGGGTTGAGCCCAGCTGGAAGAAAACTGGCTCCTGCCCAAAGGGGATGAGGGGATGGGGATATTCAGGCATGGCATGGAGCAGGATCAAAAGCCTTTGTGGAAGGGCCTTCAGCGCACATGATAGGCTAACATTCTCCTCCCCATCACAGGTACCCACTTAGCATAGGAAAGCAGGACAGATTGGTGGAAAACACCCTTTCTTCATTTGTTCAATTTACATCCTACCTTTTCTCCCAGAACTCAAGATGATTCCATTTTATCTCCCCAATAACCTTGTGAGTAGGTTGGGCTAAGACAGGGTTATGCATCACATGTAAAAAATGGCATTGTTTTGGTTGCACTGTTGCGGCTGCCCATCTTGACTTTTTCTTATTTATTTATTCCACTTCTGCAGCCCAAAATTGTCACCTTATTCTGCTTTGGGGCAAGAGTAGCCCCATAGACAGAGAAGCTACAACATGGGCCTTCCTGGGACTGAGAAATGGCACAGACAGACGCCTCCCCAATTCACTGAATTAGGAGGAGGAGGAGGAGGAGCTGGTGGTGGTGGTGGTGATATAATCAGACTTCCAAGATTTTGTTATTGTAGCCAGTCTCAATGAAAGTAGTTTGAGCCTTCCTGTGGAATTGATTTCTTGATCTGATCTGCCTGGTGGGGCTGACATAGTATAATTTCAGCATTAATTGCAAATGACCAGGGAAGTAGACTAGTTCCATTAGGGTTACCAGATTTGGGGTACAAAAATGGATGATCACCAGATGGCAGCAAAGAGATTCACAAAACTCCACCATGGCTGGCTGGGGAATTCTGGGAGTTGAAGTCTTCAAGTTGCCAAGGTTGAGAAGCACTGGTCTAGAAACTCAAGTTTCTTTTGCATTTCTTCCCTTCATACTCCTTTAATATGACTCAGCCCACTGCAGCCACCACAGACTTCCCTTATATTGGGAGCGGTCCATTAGCAGTAGGTTGGCAAGAAAAGGATCAAATGTCCAATATGCAGACAAAAATTGTAATATGATATTTGACTGGGGAAGGCTTTTCATTCTGATCCTTGTGGCTTTCCAAATGCTCTTGATTGCCCCTAAATAATGGTGCAGGTCAGATGCGGGTGTATTTTCATGAATGGTAGCTTGGTTCTATGTTGACTCAAACCACACCTTGCATATACGTATATTTTGATGCCTAGTCGCTAATGCAAAGAGACCTTCAAGCCAAGGTCATCTCCTGGTGACTCCATGGAAACATCGATGTAGTTTTCTTTGCAACCATATATAAATGATTCATCATTGCGATTTTATGGGATCCCCCCCCCCACATTCCCCAATCTAGCTTGAGAGCCAGTTTGGTGTAGTGGTTAAAGCACCAGTCTAGAAACCAGGAGTTGGTGAATTTTAGTCCCGTTTTAGGCATGGAGCCAACTGGATGACCTTGGGCCAGTCCTTCTCTCTCAGCCCTAGGAAGGAGGCAATGGCAAACCACTTCCAAAAATCTTGCCAAGAAAACTGCAGGGACTAGTCCAGGCAGTTGCAAGGAGTCAAAACTGACTGGAAAGTACGCGCGTGCACACACCCACACCCATCTACTTTACAGCCCTGGGATTTTCTGGTGGCTTCCCATCCAAGTACTGACCATTTCTGATCCCCATTAGCTTTTCAGACCAGCCAAGGTGCTGTTGCCTAGCTCTTGCAATCTAATTGCACCTTCTCCAAGGGGAGGAATTACTCCAGTATGCTTTGAGTTTATTTAAGAAGTGTAGTTCTTTATTGGCCATTAAGATTAAACTAATGGGAAGGAATGAAGAGAAGGGAGAACGTAGGCCGAAGGGATGGGGTAAGGAGTCATTACATAAATACTTCTGAAATTAAAGGAAGGAAAGACTATTTTCAAGACTTGGCCAGAGAAGTTGATCTCTCTCTCCTCTCCCACCCGTATAAATGCAGTGTTATGTGTGCATGCCAAGTTCCGCCAGTAGAAAGAGAAGCAATTCCCTGGAATTCAGAAGATTTTCTCTCGTGCTCAGTTTTGGGCTACCTTCCAGACTGTCACTCAGATGCAAGCACAGCCCTCTTTGAGGTCTATTTAAAGATGAGCTTGAGTTCATTACTGTTCAAAAGGCAACAAAGAGGGATGCACAGAGCAAGACGTTCAGGATGTTTGACAACTTTGGGACAATAATTATTTTGACCTCCTTTTTATTGGCCCTTGAGCCTGGATGGGTATGTACTGTATATTTCTATAAAGATATAGCAGTGGAAAGGAAATGGTATAGAGTTCTGCATCTCTAGAGTATGATGAGATGTGGTGCTGGCTGCCAGCTTGGCTGGCTTCAAAGAAGGGTTAGAGCAATTCATGGAAGTCCTGGGGATCAATGGCTATTAGCCTTGATGTGATTGCCTCTGAAGGCCATCTGCTAGGAGGCTTGTGGGCTTCCTTGGGCAGTTGATTGGCCACTGTGAGAACAGACAGCTGGACTAGATGGGCCAGGGGTCTAATCCAGCAGAGCACTGCTTATGTTCTTTTGAAGAAGGAGCAAAGCATAATGGTAGGTCTTTATATGGAAAAGGTCCCTGATTTGGTATCTACCATTTCCAGGTCCGACTGGGGAAAGGCTTTTTCTGAAACACTGCAGAACTACTGCTGTTCAGTTCAAGCAATATTGACTTAGGAGCATCCTCACTTAGCTTCCCATTAAATGTTGTGCAGTAGCTTAGTGATAGATTCCCTTGCTTTGCATGGTGCAGTCCCTAGGTTCAAGGCTGGGTACCTCCAGTTTTTCTTCGTTAAAATCAGGTAGTAGGTGAAGGAAAGTCTTCTCTTGCCATGAAATCTCAAAAGTCTACTACCAAGTATAGTAATAGAAGATATAGAGCAAGAGAGGCTTACTCTCTTACTGCAAAAGTTGCAGAAAGCCATATTGTGTATGTGGGTTTTTGGTTTTGTTTTAGGTTTTGCCCATTGCATGAATCCAGCTGTTGTGGTATGTAAACCATGCCTTCAGGCTTCGTGTGGGTGGCTTTATCAACAGCTTAAGATTAAGCCAACCATGGTTTCTGTGAACCCAATCACAGACTGCTCTATATAATAGAGGTGTGTTTTCCTAAGCAAAGCAATACATGTTGTTTCTGCATGCCTTGAGAAGACAATAGTACTGTTGGTGCAGCGTGATTTATAGTCAAGATGCACAGGGCATCTTGCTAGTTCTCAAACTACCTACATCTGGGCAAAAGAAAAATGTGGGGCTGTTGTAACAAAAGTCTCCAATTCCAATAAGGAAATGCTGTTTAAGAAGACTGACTAGGTTCCCTAACAAGCGAAACCATAATATGACTAGTTCAGTGTTGGCCTAATGTGTTATATGAACCCTACCATTGTAGTTTGCAAACCAGTCTATAGCTTGTGGGGTGGTACAAACCTAATCAAATATTATTGGTTTCAAAAACCATAGGTAAGAACCCTATACCTTAGCTGTGTAGTGTAAACAGAGCCATTGTTTTATGCCAACAAGGGTCAATAGGCAAAGTTCCTTGATAGCTCTTTGAGCTTGTTGCTTTATGAGAATGGAATTGCTCTAAGGGGTCAAATTCTCACCTAAACGAGCAGTAATACCATCATAGAAGTTTAGGCTCCACTCCACAGTAGGAACAAGGAAGTCTTAGCTGCAGCATAACTCACTTCAACTAAGCAGTGAGAATGATCAGCTAAAGAGGGGGAGGTTCCTGAGAGACCAGGGTCTAAATCAGTGTTGTCCAAACTTGGCCACTTTAAGATGAGTGGACTTCAACTCCCAGAAT